CACAGGAATGAACACATTTTTAAGTTTATCTATTTGTCTCTTTAAAAAGCACATGAAGCTGGGGAGACTTGGCTAAGCTGCCTGTAATCTGAAGGATGAAGAATTTGGACTTAATTAAGTAGTAGATGTGATTGGAGGCCTGCTCATTCTGAGATTCTGCTTAGTGGAACTCAGGAGTGAGTAAGACAATAATTTTGAGATATTCTTCCAACCCAGAAGTTATCCTTTCTGAAATTGGCACCATTAACCTAATTAGAAGCTATCCATACCTAGAGACCCCCATCATCACTATCACCATACTTGTAAGAGTTTGAGACCAAGATTGTAAAGTGTGTACAGATTCCATGAATCTTCCTTCCTTTGCTGGTGAACATTTGGGTGGTTGAAAAGTCCTTTAGCAGAGAACTGTCATTGATTCATTGTGGGGTATGGTCATAGACAACAAACTGAACATGGGACTCCTGCTAGGAGAGCTAAAGCATTTCTGGGCTGCATTAGAAGAAGCATTTGCAACAAAGGTGTGTGAAGTCCTTATTCTCTCTACTCTGCACTGGTGAGTACTGTGTATGATTCTGGGCACTGCATTTCCAGAATGATATTAATAGGTTAGAATAGTTTCAGAGAAGGGTGACAAGGAAGATCCAGAGAACTTGCCCTGAAGGAACTTAGGCTGATCAGTCTGGAGAAAAGAAGTCTGAGGAGAGACATGTTAACAGTGTTCAAGAACATACATGGGTACCATAGAGACAATAGTCAGAAATTATTTTCTATTGCCACAGAAACTAGGATCAGAAATAATGGGTAATGGTTGCATTTACATATATTTCACTTAAACATAATGAAAAGCCTTATTATGGTAAGATCAGTACAACAGTAGCATGGTCTATTTACAGAGCTTGTGGCTTCTCTGGAGGTTATTATGAAGAGGCTGGACAGACACCTCTCAAAGATGGCTTAATTGGTTTTCCTGCACATTGCAGAGGGTTGGACTAAATAATCCTTGTGATCTCTTCCTACTCTACAATTCTATAACTGTGGAGTCCTTGGGGTTCTCTGAGTTTGGTTGTTTTCTTGCAAACACTGCACTAGAGTGCACTGCACTGAAGACGCTACCTAGCCGGGTAACAGAATGTCTGCAAGAAAGAACCAAGCCCAGAGAACCCCAAGGACTCCACAGTTCAGCCCTGAGCTACACATACTCTCTTCTATTGGTAATTCTATACTTCTGTGATTCAGGCTGAATGTGCAAAGGGTGATTTTGACCTACCATCTCAACCAAATTTGAAAAGCACCCTTGATTGATTCATACTGGGTTTCCTTGAGAACAATTTCACAATAGGTTATAGAAATTATGTGTTCTTTCTGTGTTTATTTATGAGAGATGCCACATCACCTTACGTAGTAGCAAATTATTTTGAAGTTCTTGATAGCTGTTGAGACCACTTCTGAAATCTTGCCAAGCAAACTGTCACCAGGAGTCCACGCTGACTTGAATGTACCAAAAAAAAAAAAAAAAGTTTATAGATAGTTTTTTAAATTATTTGTTTGTCTATTTATTTGTTTCTATGTGTGCTGGCTTGAGAATGTAGTAAAAGTTAATTTGACCCTATATATTGTTATACTAAACTTGTGAAATCATGACTCACTTCTAGTTTCGTCCATGTTGTCACTGAAACAGCTCCACCCATGTCCTTCTCTTGCTTGAATAAATACTTGTAAGGAAATTACCTTTATTTATTACATTACTTACACTAATGAGTCTTAGTGACGCCTTCAGATGGTTTTTTCCCCCATTTGAGGAAATATTTTCCTTGAGTGAGGTGGAAAAGAAGTTACCTTTGGTCAAACAAGACACTAGTTTTAATACACCATTGTGTTGCAATTGTTTGTTTAATATTAAACCCACTGGTCTGATACAGCAATGAGACAAAGATTATGCCTGTGAATTTTGCTGTGTTCTCTGTAGGGTGGGCCACAGTTAAATGTGGGAAGTGAAGAGCAATATAGAGATTTTGATTTTCTTGCACAAAGGGGGGATTTTATCACTTCCTATAAGGGGAGGGGAGGGCATCCTGGCATTCAGTGCAGTGCTGGAAGGGAGCCATGGGAATGAGATTCTTGCTTCCTTCCTTGTCAGTGGCCTTCCAGGATCTTGAGTCAACTTTCCAGGATTTGGTGGCTGCTTCAGTCACTAGTTAGGTCACCAGGTGTATTCCCAGAATGAAAAATGGAGGTGATCTTAACTGAACAATCAGCTTTTTTTGCTTTATTACATTAATAAGTGTGAACAGTGAATGATACTACATATTAAATTGGGAGAATTGCTTGGGAGAAAGTTTAACCCCTTTAACTTGACAACATTTCAGATTAATTTGATAGCTTAGCCCAGGTGTTTTAGTACTATTTACATTCCTCAGTTTTTCTCAGGTCCTAATGAACACAGGTAGTTAGGAAAATAATGTTCTTTTATTTTAAAATGTTTAGATTAAGTTCAGCTACCATCAACACACACAAAATGTATAATAGAGGGGCTGGCATGAGTGGTTTTGTTATCAGATTGCTGACCCCACTTAGGATGGGTAGAGTGATGGTGTATTTGGAAGGGACAGGGAAGGTAACCAGCTCCTATATTAGATGGGGTTGGAGCTCAGAGTAGGGAGGGGGTAGAACACAATTGTCATATCCTGTTGCTGTTGGGCCAGGAGAGAGACAGCTGGGGTGCTAGGTAGGGTATTCCAGGAGAAGGGAGGTCTCCAATCTGATGGCAATCTCCTCTTCCAACTTGGCTGCCCCATCTTGGGGACGTTACCCTCTCAGAAATCTGTCCAGACAGATTTCTGATCTTGTACCAACCTCAATACCAGGGTGATGCAGTGGCATCAACCTATCTGGATAGTGTCCAAGGTCACTGTTCCTCAGGTAGTGGGGTTTGGCTGGGTTGTAGGGATAAGTTAAGGTATACTTTTGGTTTACTGACTGCCATGCCGCTGATTTGGACCCCTTCCTTGGTCCTTCACTTGGTTGCTGGCTTGCTAGTGGAGATCTTTCTCATAGTCAGATCACTTTCTGCTCCAGATGCAATTGACTACCACCCATTCCTTCTACAGGGCTGGATCCATTTGAATGGTCCCTTATGGATCTGACTGGTTTTTAGCAGGCACTTTGGGATTTCGCTGATAATCTGGTGGGTGAGTGGGTCAAGGACCTGGTCCACCATTCACAAGGGATGGCCATTGATGAAATTGTTCCCAAGTGGCCTCTCCCTGTCAGCCCATCTCAGGCAGTTATTGGTTTTCTGAGGACCTCTGGGGGATGAAATAGCAGAAAGAATGCCTGCAGCACAGGTGAAGAACAACAAAGACTGAATTTGACTGAGCACAGGTATTTGCCCAAGTATAGGCCTACTCTGTGGGAATAAGAGAGGTGAAGTGTTATTTTCTCTTACTGCATTGGTGTTTTGTTGCTGGATAGAGGGAAGAGGGAAGAGGGAATGGCTGTGAAGGACAGGAGGAACAGCCACTACCAAGGCAATGGTCAGATAAGAGGGACTTGATCCCAAACCAAGAAAATAACATGAGAAAACATCTCAGACAAGCCCTCCCTAATGCACCTGAAGATAAGGTGAGGAGGGGGAAGCACATTCACACTTGCAAGATTCTGTTATTCTAGCTGTTTCAATAAGAGTAACCCTGACCTATACAAGTAGTCCTCATTTAGTGACCACAATTGGCACCAGCAACTTGGTTGCTAAGCGCTGCAGTCAATAAGCAGAAAGTCATGTGACTGTGACAACCTTATGATCTTACTTCCCCTTCATTATTAGACAAAGCCATGCTTGCTAAGCGAAAACTCTCACGACCGCAACTTACAATTTTACTTCCACCTTCTGTATTAACTCTGCTTGTTGCAAGCCAGTTGCAAGGCAGGCAAATGGCAATCATGTGACCACAGGACCCTGCAACAATTGTAAATGTGAGGATTGGTTGAAAAGGTTGTTTTAGCACTGTTGTAACTTTGAACAGTTGCTGTACAAGGCAGTTGGTAAGCAAGGACTACCTATATGGCATTGGTTTCCTAGTCTGGTCTACATTATAGGGTTGACAACAGTTAGCACAACATTTTGCCATTAAAGTTGCTCAGATTAGCTGAAGTCTGGATTTCACTTTAGATGGGGTCTTGTGTGGTGACTGGAGCATAATCTTGCTGTGTTATTTGGGATTCTTTTTTGCCTGTTACCTATGAAGAAATAGAGAGCTTGGCCACCATTGGGCTGGATCCTTGACCCTCCTGGCTCCTTTGGGGAATTGGAAGGAGGATAGTTCTCTGGATCTGGGAGGTTCTGAGTGCTTTGTTGTAGGAGGGGATGATGCTGGCAGTCCTTAAAGAGGCAATAGTGTATCCCCCCTCCCCAAGAGGCCCTCCTTGGATCCAGAAGTATTAGACAATTACTGCCTGGTCACCAACCTTCCTTTTTTAGTGAGATTGTTGAGTTGGTGGTTCAGGACCAACAATAGAGTACCACAGAGGAAGGAAATTATCTGGATTCTTATCAGTCAGGGTCCAGACATGGGTATGGGATAGAGGCAGTGCTGCTTGCTTTAGGGGATAACCTTTGTTGAGACCTGGATGGGGGAAATCTGCATGTCCTGGTCCTTTTAGGCCTCTTAGTGGTCTTTGATGCTGTTAATTATGGTTTCCTTCTGGACCATCTGCAGGGATTGTAGATTTGAAACACTGTTTCCATTGGTTCTACTTCTTCCAGTAAGTGATAGTCAGGGAGGACAGATAGGTGTGGTGATATTTCCTTCTCAGTTATCTCTCCCCTGCTATTCGACATCTACCTGAAGCCATGGGGGGAAGTCATCAGTATGCTGATGATACCCAGCTTTATATCACAACCCTGGGCTGCACTGAAGATGTTGGCAAAGCCTTGTTTCAATGCCTGGAGACTATTTGGTTCTAGATGGGGAGAAAACAGGCTTACATTAAGCCTTAGCAAGATGGAGCTACTGTTTATACATCAGGGTTCCTCCATGGTCCCAGTGGTGACTCCCGGTGGGACTCTCCAGGTCCTCATGGACTTGTGGCTGCTGCTGGATCAGCAGGTAGAAGCTGTGGCCAGGGGAGCCTTTGCTTACCTGTGGCTGTTGCACTAGTTGCGGCCTTATCAGGATATGAGGACAAGTTACAGTGGCTCATGTACTCATCACCACCTGCTTAGACTCCTGTAACACAATCTACACGGAGTTGCCTTTAAAGATCATCTGGAAGCTTCTCAGTTGGTGCAAAGCACAGGTGCTTCTTGCTGGTGGGTTCATATTACACTTGCATTCCAGGCTGTGCACTGGCTCCCTATGAGCTTCCAATGCAATTTAAAGTGCGGTTTTTCACCTACGATGCCCTTTACAGTTTGGCTCCTGGGTCCTTGCAGGACTGCATCTCTCCACTAGAGTCAGCCTCATCATTTTAAGCAGCTGATTGTTCCCCATTTTTGGGAGACCAAAGAGTTGAAGCCCAGAACTGGGTTTTCCCCACCCACTCACCCACCCCCATAATAGGACAGACCTTCTGGAAAGGCCTCCCATCTGAGGTATGATTGACTGCAACTTTATCCACTTTCCAGAAGAAGTTGAAAACGGAACACCTCCAAAAGGCATTTGTCAGTGCGGTTTTTAAGCATTTTGTTGTAAGCTGCCGAGATTCAGTTTAGATTGTGATGGGGATAAATTTGATAAATAAATAAATAAATGATAGAATTGGAGAATTGGAAAGGATGTTAGGGGACAACTAGTTCAGGCTCCTGCTTAATACATGATCTATTATGACATCTCTGTCAGATGACCAACCAGCCTGTTTGAAGACCTCTAACAAAGGAGAATTCCCCACTTTATATGGCAGCTTGTTCCACTGGCTAACAGCTTGTACAGTCAGGAAGTTACTCCTGATGTTTTAACCTGATGGTTCTGGTCCTACCTTTTAAAGCAATAGATAGTAAGACTCTTTACCTGTGATAAACCTTCCAATGTTTGAAGGTTACTTCCCTATTCCCCCTTAGCAGTCTCTTTGGTTAGGCTAAATATACCCAGATCCTTTAACCAATCCTCAAGGGGCTTGGTTTATCTCTTCCTTTGATTGTTTAGTACATCAGGGGAGTAGTGTAGACAAGAGGTACCTGGACCTCAACAAAGCCTTCAATTAAATCTCTCATAATATTGTCCTTAATAAAATGGTAAAATTTGGATTAGATTATACTACTGTTAAAAATTGTCTTTCTACACACTGTCCTCTCCTGGATGTATTGGTCAATAAAGGGGAGCCAGAGAGAAGAAGATGGCAATAGAGAATGTTGACCTAAATTTCCCCTAACAAAGTTCATATTCAGTGAATAACAAAACTGGTCTCTTCTGGAGATGTCAGTTGTGATTGGAGAGAAAAAACTATAATGAAGCACCAAGCATACGCTCATGAAGCATTATTATTTTATTGAATTGGGAAAATTATTAAAGCTTGTGAAATCAATGGGTACAGTCTTTGGATCTCTTAATCAACAACTTTGTAAGTCACTTTTTTATCTCAGCATTTTCCCATTCTACTCTTCCATCGTTTCGGGGATAATACATAATACTAAATACCATCTTAGTTCTTTAAGCCAGGTGTCGACAAACTTTTTTTGTCTCCTCAGCCTCCATGCTTGGCCCTTGAGCAAGGAGAGTGCTGATAGGCTGACAACAACATCCAGGACAACCTGCCCCTGGCCCTCAGCCCCACCTCTCACCCCGGAAGCTCAGGTAAGGCTTGGGTCCGGCAATCTGCTGCCTACCTGCCTGCCCATTCTTAGTTTGTGGGTCATATAAAAACAGGTGGCAGGATGGATTTAGCCCACCGGCTGTAGTTTGCCAACCCCCACTCTAAGCGTTTTTGCAATGTTTCTGATGAGACAGCACAGTACAAATTGACCTGCATGTACGGTTTGAGGAGCATCTAGAGCAGCTATGATAGAAAAGCCTTAATTGTAGTATCAGTCAGTTGATGCTTCATTGAAAGCAACCATGTAATCTGAATCACTTATCTACAAAACATGTAAAAATCCTTTGGGTTTAAAGTATGACCAGGACCTGTAACTACTCACAGTTCAGTCCCTACAAAACTAACTACTTATTCAGTAATACTTGGCCATCAGTATTTGTTACGAAGTTTTAGGAGAGAGGCATCTCACTCTAAATGTAAGTGACCCAAATATTTAAAAGGGTTTAGCTTTGGTCTGTGCCTAGGAGGCAGGACCAGTTCCTCCCAGCTCCCCCCCCCCTTTTTTAATTTTTCAAATGGTGCTGTTGGATTAGCAAAACACTGACTGAAGCATTGATTCAGTCCTGTGTCTATTTTATTTATTTGTTTGTTTGTTTGTCACATTTATGTAGCTACCCATCTCATACAAGGTGACATGGATGATCTATTGTAGTACTCTGTCTGCGAAAACAAAAGAGTTAGGGAGGCGGTGTCAATATTCTGGCAACTTTTCTCAGGAATTATCTCCTTCTCAAAGAATATAAGTAGAAGATATCTACCATGTCAAGAATTTCAGAAGTTTGGGGGGAAATTAAAAATAAAATCTAATTTTAAAAAATGTATATCATGTATAAGAATATATAATTATAGATAAGCATGAAAATAAAATAGAGTGATGGATACTTGCTTTTTAAATATTTCTGGAAAAGTGAACAGTATTTTCTTATGAACGGAATATAATGTTATTCCTTTCTCTTCTCTTTGTAGGTTCTCTCTGAAAAGTAGGACAAAGCAAGCAACAATCTCTCTCTTAGACATTGTCCTACTTCTTCCTCCTCCTCCTCAGGACTTTGAGGGTGTTACCATGTTCATATCCCAGGTGCAAGCTTTGCCAGCTGTAGTGCTCTTCTTCTTTTGTTCCACCTGTCTGTTCCTACTTCTTCTCAGGACTGAAAGAGAGCATCCTGAGACTTTGGATCTCCAGCATAAATTTCAGAGTATCCCAGAATTTGAATGGGAAGATATACTTGAGAAGACAAAGAAAGCCAGTTCTTTGGATCTGCGATCTCTTGCACCTTCAACAGCCACGCGGCATCCCTTAGAAGTTGTTTACTCTAAAGATTATAATTTCCTTCTCAATGAGCCACATAAATGTCAGGAAGGAAACCCTTTTTTGGTCTTGCTGGTGATAACTAAGCCTGAAGATTTTGTTGAAAGACAAGCCATCAGGCGTACGTGGGGCAATGAGAGCTCAGTGGCTGGTGTTTCCATTGTCCGCCTTTTCCTTACTGGTGTCCACCCAGTCTTTGGATCCCGGCTCCAAAATCTTTTGGAAGAGGAAAGTTCCATCCACAGAGATATTATCCAACAAAACTTCCTGGACACTTACAACAATCTTACCCTGAAAACTCTAATGGGCATGGAGTGGATAAGCAAGTTCTGTCCCAATACCACCTATGTGATGAAGGCAGACGCTGACATCTTTCTTAACGTGAACTATATGGTGTCACAGCTACTACAGCCCCACCTTTCCCCAAAGAAAGATTATATTACAGGGTACATCTATCGGAACACAAAGCCATTGCGCAATAAAGCATATAAATGGTATGTACCCTGGGAGGTATATCCCAATGACACTTACCCACCCTACCCTGGGGGCCCTGGGTATGTATTTTCTGGAGATCTGGCCCAGAAGATCTACCAGGTTGCTCATACCATTAAGGTAATTAACATGGAAGATTCCTTCATGGGGATCTGTTTGCATGAACTTAGCATCAGTGTGACAGATAGTCCCTGGGGCCTCTTCAACATGTATAAAATCAGCTATGAGAAGTGCAAGTTCTCCAAGTTAGTGGTAGTGCATCACTTTGGGCCAGAGGAATTGCTACAGATTTGGCCTGATTTCCAGGATCAAAAGAAAAATTGCAAGGATTAAAAATGAAAGAAATGAGCTCTTAAAAAAAATATGCTGCCATTTTGGAGGGCTAACAATGTGCAGAACAACATATGTAGATTTGTTTGTTTACACTGGACAAGCATATATGATCAAAATTGAATACACAAATAATTGAAAAGAGAAGGTCTTTGTGGGAAACTTCTGTGAGTTGTCAGAAGGTGGTATAATTTTTATTCTGCCATCTTTGTAATCTCAAAAATAAGTTTCTCCAGTTAATATGTGCTTATTCAGTATAGTTTTTATTCCTGCTGCCACTTTCCCATTGAATTCCAGAAACTGCCCCAGCCACTTGTTTGACCAGCTCTGGATATCGGTTTTGGAGAACTTGTGCTTACATATCACTTGCATATCAACAGAAGAAATTTCAATGAATCTCTGGAGAGTACAAAGCCTAGGGCACGATGGTGAAGAACCTGGGAGTGTAGGTAGTTTATGCTCAATTCTTTCAGTTGAGGATCTCAGCAAAAGAAGAGTTAACAGGATCCTAAATCGGGCTACATGTTCAGATTCTGTGACAATAGCCTATGAAGTTCAGGAATGGTTCATGAAGGACTCGTGGGAAGAGATGGGATAGAGCTGACAAACACTGGAAAGGAAGTATTTGGCATGCAACTCCCCAAAGAGCCAAGTCCTTTTAAATAATACTTTCAGTTACAGGCAAGGCTGGTCAATTTTCAACCTACTGTATTTTTCCGTGTATAAGACAATACTTTTTTCTAAAATCGTTACACTAAAAATTGA